CTTCTTTTTTTTTTTTTTAGGTTGCAACAATGATGTAAATAAGAAAAGAAAAGCTAAAATTATGTAGACAAGGTTGATGTGGACCTTACATGTTCAAAAAGACATATTAAACTAACATCAAAAGTCTTGTCTTTACAAAAGCAAAAGGCCAAGATACCACCCCAGAGATATGACAATCACTAAGAAAGATGACTTAAATATTATTTCTCAAATAGAATGAAAATCTGTATGTAATACAATGTCTTTTAAATTTTTMCGTTCAAATTATAATACAATGTCTTTTAGATTTAAAACTTGAATATCTACTTCTAGTTTTTTATGTCCAATTATAATATAATTTCTTTTAGATTTTGAATGATATGACAATGAGCTTGTTTATATATATCTGCAACATGTATGTTTCTCATAAAATGAGAAATAGGAACAAGAAACAGGAAACAGAAACGTTACCAAACGAGCGCTTAATTACTCCTTACCCCAAACACAGACTTCAAAACTCCAAGTTTAATAACTCTTCAACTCGAACATAGACTAAATAACTCCAAACTAATTAACTTCTCATATTTACTCCCCATATTAAACAATTTTAGATTAAATAACTCCAAACTTAATATATCATTGTGACAAACATCCCCTAAGTGTGTTTGTTATCATCAAACATTAATTAATCAACCTATATTAAGGTTAAAAAAGCCAACATTCTTGTGAAGGAGCGACAACTGTTAAAGGAAAAAGAGATTGACTGATGTATGGTTCATCAACTAAAGAGCCACTTATCACATGACCTCTCGATGAGAATGATTCCATCATTATGAACCTATCTTTCGAGAATATGTGTTTAGTTGTAATGATCTTGCCTTAAAGATTATCAGTATTGGAACTATCAATACTGATGTATGATGTATGATCTTGCATTGAAGATTGTCAGATTGGCTGATGTATGGTTCATCGACTAAAGAGCCACTTATCACTACAATAATTTTGTGCTTTACCAATACCTTTTAAATCATCGGACAAAATAATATTGCCCGACTAAACATTGATAGTCTGGAGTTTTCCCGACGAATAATAGAAACCGTCTGGAGTAACGTATTACTTTTAACGGATTTCCAAATCGACACTTTGTTGGTGGTTTGCCGAATATCCTTCATGAGACATTGCCATTATATTCCAAAAATGCACAGTTGGGGTAAGAGTAAACATCATGATGGAAATATTAAACACTTGTGGGACGTCCCAGAAGTAGAAAACCTTGAAAATGATGAAGTAGAGTTGTTAGAGGTAAATGTGGTATTGCAGTCGATGAAACTATCACAAATAGGTCTTATTGTAGAGATGACACGAGTCCCACTATTGTTGATCGACAAGTCATTTAAGAACAACTAAATACAAGTAGACTATCAACCAAGGATGATGATTTTATAAACTACGAAGAGGAAGATATTAAAGATTCTAATGCTAATAGTTCAGAAACTTTAGAAGCGAATGACTTTGAAAGTGATTAAATACATAGCGTGAATAAGTATTTACTTTTGCAATGTTTTTATGTTTTGATAATGTTTGTAATATGTTTTCATAGGTATGATTCCAACTACTAAAAGCTTGGCAGACAATATATTCAAGGAGGGGCAACGACCGGAAAAGTTGGGAGACGAATCCCAAGACATCCCTTCCAGTTAGTATACTTCAACATTTTGTTTTGGTTCCTATTTATCATCCATACTTAACTATATTACTTTTTCAGGTACCACTACTCCTACTAAGGGAAGAGATGTAACTCTGGAATTGGACAGGGAAATGGCGGAGATGGGAAAATCGACATTATAATAGATGAGGCCCTAAGGAAGCCAATATGCAAGAATACTACACATATGTCAAATTCTATTGGGTCCATAGTCCGAGAGAATTTTGACCCATTGAAGTACACCTATTGGAAGCAGGCACCAAAGGTCGATAGGATAAAAGCTAGAGATTTCGTACTGGTAAGTTATTTATTTTCATATGTTAAAATGATATAACATAAATTTACTCCATACACTTTGTTTTTGTAGAATTGGTTCAAATTGAACGTATCACACGAAGCAATAAGAAAGTATGTTTATAATGAGCTACAATCAATGTTTAAGGAGTACCAAGGCAGATTTACATGTCCATTAAAAAAAGTGGACCTCTTGAGGTAGCTTGTGAGAAGTCTCATGTATGACTTGAGAAGCTGGATGACTAGTATCAAATGGGTACAGAAATATTTTTTCCTTCTTACAACTTCTTTAGATTCATTGCTAATCGCCCATTGCAAAATTTTATCAGAGCAAGTTAGAGAAGTCAAAGAAGAGCAGGGCGGAGCTCCCCTACAACCATCAGGCAACCCAAACTAGTATTTATATGTCGTTCGTACTTACACGTATCACGACTAACTATTTTAAATGACTTATTTAATTAATGTCAAATGTAGAAAGAACACCAGAGCGTCGAGATCGGCCCCATATAAATGTTTAAGGAGATGAGGCATCATCCAAATAATGGTTGGTAGATCCTGAAGCATAAACGACCTATGTAAGTTTTATTTCCTCGATTTTGCTTAGAGAGTACCTGATATTAAAATATTATGACGGAAATGCACAATTGGCATAAAAGTAACAGTTTCTTAGCAAGAAAGTTGTTTTTTTAAGATGCAAATGAAGGGGATGTAAATCCTAGAGCGGAAGCAGTAGAACGCATTCTTGAATTTCTTTTGAAATTTAAAACACATAAAAATTTAAAACAGGGAAGAAATGTTGGATTTTAGCTTTGAAGACTCTTTTTCATGTAATCCCGATGCAACACCAATTGATCTTCCTCGCTATGTCTCTCAGTCGAGAATTCGGATTGTTGGATCCAATTGCAACGGATCGAGAGAGTAAGAGAGTTATGAGATTTTTTTATCTTTTTTCCTTTATAGAGTTCAACCTACTGTTATATTTATAGAGAGAGAAAATCTATGATCATTAGGATATATTATCCTTTTGGATATATGATATCTTCTCTTGAATTTAGGGGAAATCCCAAGAACATCAACATATCTTCTTCTTTTTATTTAATTAATAATAAATAAATTAATTAAATTCAATTAATTAATTTAAATCTTAATATTAAATAAATAAGTAACAATTAATTATTTTTTTATTAAATATCACATATTTAATTAAAACTATATATTTGAATCATCTCTCTTGTATAACCTTTAGTTTTAATATGAATTCATATTAATTATTTGAATCCTATTCAAATATTTCTCTCATAACATATAGTTTAATTATTGAATCTTTATTAAAAAATACACTATATATGTAATGTATCATCATATACATTATATACATTCCTTGATACATGTAAATAAATTTTTAAAGAATTAGACCAATTGGTTCAATAAGAATTTATAGTGGTTGTCAGATACACACAAAACATGGCCTTGATACATATTCTCTTGTAATTAAAAGAGCTACTGTTAGATATCTAATCACGTTTGTAGCTATTCATAGCCTATTTATACATCAAATTGATGTAAAAAATAACATCTCTTAATGTCGATTTAGAGGAGGATATTTTTATGATGACCTAAAAAGCTTTGTTAATACTAATCAAGAGAATAAGGTATGCAAGCTTTAAAATTCTTTTTATAGCATCAAACAAGCTCTTAAAGTACTTTAGTATGTTTCGCTTAAAGTTATTTGGAGTTGATAGTGTGATTATAATATTTACATATATGTTGATAACATGCTTATTTTGTACAAATTTAAATGTCATTAATTAGGCAAGTTGTCTTTTATGTTCACATTATTAGCTCTCTGAAACGAAATGACTAGTCCAAATGTTACTCAATGGATGACAACAACACAAAAAGAAATAGAAGCTCTTGATAAGAATAAGACATGGAAACTTGTAACGCTACCACGAAGGGAGAATGCTAATTAGTGACAAGTACGTGTATAAGATCAAGCGTAATAACGATGATCAATTGGAGTGGTATCGTGCAAGATTGGTGGTAAAAAGATATGCTCAAAAAGGTGGTGAACTAGCCAGTAGCTCTATTTACTACTTTTAGAATAGTCTTGGCAATGTGTGTTACATTTGACTTACAACTAGAGCAGTTAGATGTTAAAAAACCGCTTTTCTCCATGCAGATCTTCAAGAAAAAATTTATATGCTTCAACTAAAAGGTTTTGAAGTAAAAGGAAAAGAAAACTTTGGTTTGGAGGTTTAACAAATCTCCTTACGATCTTAAACAGGCATTGAGGTATTGACATAAGAGATTTAATTCCTTCGTCATTAGCCTGAATACAACTGACTTAATTCATAACCTTGTGCATATTTCAAGATATTTGGTGAAAAAGACTTCATTGTCTTGTTGTTGTATGTTAACGACATATTGGTAGTAGATCCCAAGAAAGATTTTATCGAAAAATTGTGTTTGTTTTAGTCTTTATACTTTTAAAACATTCATTTTGGTATTCTTACTTTAAAAAAGTGACCAACTTGGTCTCAATATATTTGTCAAATTTTAACACAAATTTTATACACAATTGAAATCCTTGAACACAAATTTATAGCTACATTTCAAGAAATTTAATAAGTGCAATGTTACGCTGAAAATGAAAAGAAAGGTATAAAATAGTCTTCCTTCAARAGTACGAAAACCAAAATAAATATTTCAAAATGAACAAAACTTCCCAGCAAAGAGACCAAAAAGAAAGTTTTAGAATTACAATAACAAACRGTGGGGAAAAGTTATCAAAATTCAAACATTTTTTTTAAATATACTTATGTTTTGTTGTGAATTGACAAAAATACCCTTGACGGATGAGTCTTTGGAAACCAGACAGATGCCAACTGTCTGCAGATTTTTTTAGCTGCAGAGCTGGCCTTAACATGTTCTCCTCCCAATTTCCAACTTCTGATAATTGCTTTTGCATTTTTCTTTTCTTCTCTTTTCAAATCAATTGACATTTCTCTCTCTTTAGTACATCAAAAAGCCGTTTAAAAAAAATTTACTTTCCATTCAAATCTCTAGTTATTATTCACTAATTTCCAATTACTGCCTTTTTCTTGTCTCTCTTCATTTCCCTTTTACACAGATTAGATTCTTCTCTCCTTCCACTCAAACTTGTTCGCTGGCCATTACTCTCACTTTCCCTTTTGTCTTAAATTCCCTTATTCTCTCTCTCTATAAACTTTCCAAAGCAATGAATCAAAAGAAAAAAAAAAAAACAACTGAGTCTCTTTTTGTGATTCCATGATTGAGCTTTTGGCAAACTCAAAAGATTCTTCCTTCCCCTTCTGGGTTTCCTCTTTCCCTTGTGTTTCTCAATAAAATAGAGAGAAAAAAAAAGGGAAAAATGAAGGCAGCAGCAACAAAGGCAGAGGTTAGCAAAATGGTTTCAAGTGAGAAAATGCAGCAGAGAGAGAGAGTTTCAGAGTTGGAAATTAGGCCAGGAGGAATGCTGGTTCAAATGAGGGATTTTGATCAAAGTCTCTCAATTCCCACCATTAAAGTCAAGGTCAAATATGGCTCTTCTTACCATCATATTCAAATCAGCTCTCATTCAAGCTTTGGTAAACCACACCTTTCTTCTTATAGTTCTATTCAATCTCTCAAATGCTTGGGATTGAATGGGCAAAATCTTTGATACATATGATAGAGTTTTGGAGGTGGATTTGGGTTCTATATTGTACATGCATCTTGAAAAGTTGGGAAAAAATTTCTGGCATTTGTGTTTTGATTGATTTTGAAAGGAAAATCATTCGTGTTTGGATTCAAACGGTAGACAACATCATACTATTGTAAAAACTATAGAGAAACTCGTTGGATAGAGAAATATTGTCTTTTGAGTGTAGAATCCAGAAGTGTATATAAGTCCAAGTAGATGTTATCATGCCGTTGTAAAGATATAGAAAGAGTCATTAGCGTTATGGGGTAAAATAAATTGACTTTTCGGTAGAATCCAAAAAGTAAAATCATCCGAGTACACATGTTTAAAGTGGACAATATCATATTATTGTAAAAATCTAGAAAGACAGCTTGTTGTTGTTGCAATTAGATGAAGAAATTGTCTTTTGAGTGGTCTGAAAAGCAAAATCATTCGGGTTTATGTCCACGTATCGTACTACATATTGTAGTAATAGTTGGATGAATTTGATGTTGTTGGGCAATTTTGGTACAAATAGGATGGAGAATAGGGATTAAAGGGTGCTGTGAAATAAATCAAAATATGCATAATTTTTGACAGGTGAATTGAAGAAGTTGTTGGCAGAACCAACTGGGTTCCACCCAGAAGAGCAAAAGCTAATATACAAAAAGAAAGAGAGGGATTCAAAGGCCTATCTAGATGTGGCAAGAGTCAAAGATGGCTCCAAAATTGTGTTGGTTGAAGACACTTTAAGCAGGGAAAGAAGATGCATTCAAATGCTAAAGAATGCTAATTTTGAAAAGTCTTCTAAGTTGCTAAAACAAGTGAACTTTGAAGTCAATAAGCTCTTTCAAGAGGTAATATGCAAGTTTTCTCCGGTTCAAGTACTATTTTGATTCGTGTACTTTCAATTTTAGTTTATTTTGGTCTTTATAGCTAAGGTCTATTTTTATTCTTATACTTTCAACTTTTATTATTTTCATTTTCATTATTTACTTTCAAAACATTTGCTTTTATTCTTTTCCTTTTAATATGGATCATTTTGGTCATTTCATTTTCATTTCTATCTCATTTCTTTCAATTACAACTTTAATATAACACTTTCTCTCACTAAATTTTTGAAACATTTTGGTCACTAAATTGTATTAAAATTTGTGTTAAAATTTTGTAAATAAGACCAAAATTATCACTTTTTAAAAGCATGTGGATCAACATGAACAAAATACAAAGATCAAACCAACTTTTTGAAAGTACAGGACCAAAATAAACTAAAGTTAAAAATACAAGAGTACAGGATTTAAACCTTTTTTTCCTTTTACTATTTTCCATTTCTTTGGAGGGTTGAAATTTTTTCATGGGTTTTCAAAAGGGGGTTTTTTTTTTTTCAATAATNTTGAAGTGAGAGCTTGTAACGAAGGGAGAGTTTCAGAAAAGGAAGTGGAGAATTTGACTGAAATGCTTATGAGAAAACTGATTGAATTGGATGAAATTGATGCTGTGGGAGACCTGAGATTGCAGAGAAGAGAACAGGTAATGAAACATTGACTCCATTTCATGTTCATTTTCTAGGCATTTCATAAGCTAATATACAAAACTAACGGTAATTTTGAAAAAGTGACCAATTTGACCCCTATTTACAAATTTTTGATAAATATTATATACACAATGAAAATTCATTAACAAGTTTATGGTTACATTTCAAATAATTCAGTAACATGTTAACATTATGATCGAAATAAATGAGATAAAAATAAAAATAAATTACTAAAATGATCACGTTTTTAAAGTACAATGATCAAAATAAATGTTTTGAAAGTATATAAATTAAAATGAACAAAAATTAAAAATATAGAGACAAAAAATAAAGTATATTTCCAAAGTATAGGTGTCAAAATGAACAAAAAAAAATGTGAAACACAGGGATGAAAATAATATTTAAACCTATTTTTATGTTTTGTTTTTTAAAAAATATAATAACAATTAGTTTTCACTTTTTTAATTACTTTTTAAAATCTTGGCAAATTTCGGAACCAAAAACAGATATTTGAATATATTTTTTCCATAATAAAAAATAAAAAAGCTTAAATTTTGACTAAGATTTTTAAAGAATTTTTAAGACTAAATTACAAAATAAAGAAAATTAACTACAAGTATACTTTTTAAGAATACAAATAAATAAAAAAATAATAAAAAAACACACAAACACAAAAACAAAAAAACAAAAAACAAAAAAGAAATAAATCCCAAAATAAAATCATAATCAAATGGATTTTTTTTTTAAATTTGTTTTGTTTCTTATTCTTACAAGTAAGACAAAAATCTGTCTAGTCATTTCTTATTCTGTCTCCTCTTTACTAAAACTAATAGAATATACATATGTTTGGTAGAAATTCTTTCACTTTCTAATTTTTGTAAAGAAATAAAAACCTTACTTAAAAATCAATTTTATTAAAAAAAAGAAATATAGATAATTGAATGTTCTTTTAAAATCGGTTGAAATATTAGTTTGGGTACTATAGTTTCAAAATTTTATTTTTGCCTCTATACTTTTAAAAGATTTGTTTTATACTCTGTAACTTTTAGAAAGCGATCATTTTTATCCATTCATTTTAGTTTTCAATTTTATTTTTTCTATCACAATTTCAACACAACACCAAACTCAATATATTTCTTGAAATATAATAACCATGACTTTATATTAAAGAGTTTTCGATATGTATAGAATTTATGTTGAAATTTTGAAAATATGGACGAAAATAGACACTTTCCAAGAGTATAGATGCTAAAATGAACATTTCGAAAATATATGAACTAAAATGAACTAAAGTTAAAACTATAGAGACCAAAATGAACCAAAATTAAAAGTACATAGAACAAAATAGTATTTTAACCTTTAACCTTTCGATTTCATTTCTTACCTACAATTGTGAACCAAAATTAAACGAATTAGTTATTTGAACTATTAAAAGAAAAAGAAATAAGATACCAAAATTTGTCTATGGAATTGGTTGACAATTTTAATAATCTTCTGGAAAAAAAACACACACACAGAAACAAACACACTTCTCATACATTTATAATCACAAATTTTGATAATTTTATCTTCTTTTCTTTTCTTTTTTTTTCTTTTGTTTTAATTGAGAAAGGTGAGGGAAGTTCAAAAGAAAATTGAAACTCTTGATATGATGAAGCTGCAATACATTGAAGGAAACTCAAATGGTGTTATTTCCACCAAAAAGGGAAAGCAGAGTTTGGAGCCAAAGCAGAAGCAGAGGCAGAAGGGTGTGAGAATATTGAAGGAAGAAGCACTAAGGAATTCTGAATCAGTGGTAGTCACAACAAAATGGGAAACTTTTGATTAGCAATATATATCATCATCACATTTAAAAATAAAAAAAAAAGTAATATGTAAATTATTAATTAAATCATACAAAACTTAATACATAAAGAGAGCTAAAATATATACTTTCTTTTGCTTATTATTATTTTAGAGAAATTCGTGTGGTATATGTTTCCAAGAAACGTTTGATTCTTAGTAGATCGCATATACTTCGAGTACATACTGTAGGGTTAACGTAATATTTGTATTCTTTTTTCGAATTCAACATGTAGGTGGAGATTCGAACTACCTCTAATCTTCTTGTCGATGATATATTTTCATTAGTTGAGCTAGATTTAAATGAGTACATTTGTTAATTCAATCTGTAGAAAGAGTTTCAAATACAGCATATATGGGGTTATATACCTATTTTAAGATGACATCTAATAATTTACCACTTTAATTTTAATATGGATTGCTCGATAGCTCAAGAGTCAAACACTCTACAAGATAGAATAATCAAACTTACTTGGATGTTCATGCAACTAAAAAGACGTGAAATTACAAAGGCTCAAGAAGTTCTCTTGATTAACTTGAACGGTGGAAAAGTTCAAAAGCTAAATTAATTAAAAAAAAACTAATAATCTACCGAACAACTTAATGACAAGAATTTTAGATAACCTCTGACTAAACCTAAATGCCAAAACTGCATAGAAAATATTTTTAAATAAAATTGTATCATAATTTGAAGTCTTGCGCTATTCATATCATGTTCTTCCAATACATACACCATCAAATTTATGTGTACGGGGTAGTATTTTAAATGAAGTAATTCATTTGATCTTATTTATGAACAAATGTTTGTTTGATCACGAAAATGATCAAGGGACTTTTCAAACTCAACGAAATGAAACATCTGAGTAGCTAAAGGAAGGGAAATCAACCGAGACCTCGTTAGTTATCCGACCCAACCCCAGAGTTTCGAATGGCCGGCATGCTTTGGATGGTAGAACGGGGAGAGGGCGAGTCGTGCCCATTCTCTCTCTAGGCACAAGTAGGAACATCAAAATGAAAGACCGAGCGCCATATGTACTGAGATTGTTCAAGAGACATGGTCCAAGCTCGGGGAAGAAATCAATGCAAATTCAAAAGAGCTCGTAATTAGAAAGAGGGGGCTTTAAGTTCTTAGGAAGAGCCGTACGAGGYAGCTCACGTACGGTTCGGGAGCCGAGCGGTGCCATTTAGCTGTTGGAGTACGAGCATTAGGAGATTAGGACTCAGGTCATGGCATTAGAAGATTAGGAAAATGCTCTTTTGAACGAATCTTATGAATAATCGGAATGCTTTCAATGGCCATAAGTGGAATGCAGCTGTTGCACCAAACGTTGGTGGTTGTTTCTCCTGTGGTTGCTCACCCTCCGAATCTTCTGACCGCGTCTCGATCACAAAGCTCGAACTTCAGATACCAATGTATGAAGGACCTGCAAAATAGAGTTAGCACTTCGACACTCAAGTCAGTACACTGATCTATACTCGAGAGAGAAAATAGTTTTATGTACCTGGCGTGAGAAACGAGGATCTCTATTTATAGAGGTTAGTGTTTGCTTCCTCACAACTAGGCGAAAATTGGTGCAAGTATACACCAAAACAATCCGTTGTAGTATAAAAACAAGGTCGTCTCCATAGGGATTACAATTTTACTTGAAATAGTAAATAAGAATACCAAAAAGTAAAATAAAAAATAATTTGTTTAGAGTGGTATGGATGCTGTAACAGTAAAATGAGCAAGAATAGAAATATTTTACGATTTTGCTTTAGAGCATCCGAAAACGGAAAACAACAGAAAAAGCGAAAAAGATATGTTATGAAGGTAAATCGAGGGAGAATCACTCAAATGCTCTCACTCACGTCTAGCTATGCTCTAGTAAACTCAAGATACTGAATGCCCAAACCGACATGGCTCTCTCCCAAGATACCCAAACATGTTTAACCCCAACTCCCGTTGTAGACTAAACAAGCAATACGAACAGTTTATAGGCACGAAAGGGTGAGTTTCATCCTGAGTACTCACCATTCTACTTCAAATAGAGAAATCTTACGCAAATAGAGGCAAACACGCAACACAAGGACTTTCTCAAGCCTCAAGTGAGCATAGCAAACCAATAATGTTGGCAAAACAAAATCAGTACGATGAAAGAATAAAAACACCTCTATTAAATCAGCATAAATATA